TAGACGTCGCATTCTGGATTGAACAAAAATATACAATCGATGTGATCACATAATAAAACAAATATGCTTGAGTATATATATTTTTTATTTTTTATTAAAATATGATTCTACTACTAGCATCTGCAGCAATTCAGTAAGTGCTAAGCACGTACTGTATGTGAATATTAGTGTTTGAATGTGCACCGTGCCTGTTCCACTCCTTGAATTTAGTTGGTGCAACAGGTGTAAAATGCTGTCTTGAAGCAGCAAAGTTTTTTTTTTTTTACTTCATTTAAGAACTGTATTCATTTGCTGCAGCTTCACCTAAACGGTGGTCAAAGCTAGTTGATGGGATTTCTCCAACAGAAAACAGCAAAGTATTGACTCTTAAGACTTTTAGTGACATTTGCTGGCACAGTCATTATGAAGCAGTGTGAGCTGTTGACAGAAATTATCAACATTTCTATAATTTGCTCTGAGATCTGGATGAAGACATATCTCAGCCACCTGACACATGAGTCAAGGCTTCATCTTTAGTTGAAAAAATTACACTATTAAAGAAGACATCCTTCATGTGTCAGCTCTGGTTGTGTATTCTAAAATGCTTCCAGAATTCAAGTGCAATCCTTTAAAATGAAGACCTTGGTCTGCAGGAAGCTTGTTCCATATTTGAATCATTACAGTAGAAGTCCAAAAATCCGGACTGCTTGGGGATTGGGTCGGTCCGGATTTTCGGATTTTCCGGATTCTCAGGCAGTACTTTTAAAATTCAAATTTAAGGAGGAATAAAGAAGAGATGAACAGATACATTTTGATAGTTTATTCATAAGCAAGTAAAGCATGCTTCATTTATCAAAATGAGCAGTTTTAAAGAAAAATAAAGTCAACACTTGACAAAAATGTAAACAAACTGTCTAATACCATTATGAGTCTTGAAATTCCTAAGCCATCCATCACTAAATGCTCACTCTGATTCAATGTTTATTTGCTCCTTAAAAGACTTTGCTTTGGCAATAAGCATCAGCCCATAAATTGCCATACCTTCTGATCATTTTAACAAAAACCATTTGTGCAACACTTTATCAGGATTTTCTAATTTGGGCCAATGTAAACTTTTTCTTAAAGCAACTTTATTGTAAGGCTCAGAAGAAGCTGTGAATTCTCGAGTTTTATTCTTTGCCTTTTTTTATATCATAAATTGTAGACTTTCCAATGTCATATGTTTCCATTGGATCAGTATTGCTCACACCACATTCTAGTTTCTTAATTATTTCAAATTTGTCACTCAATTTCAATGTGTTCTACTTTCTCTTCACACAACGAAGTTTATCTACTTTAGGAGCCATTATTATGGGCTTGTACTCTGTACATGGAAAGAGTAGGACTCAAAATTACATATGTTGTCACAGTTTGATTGCTTGTTTTAAAGTGGTGATCGCGTGGTCGCTTGTTATCGCTGTGGCGTTCAGGCATGCACACATACACACAAAAGATTTATAGTGCCACAAATTTTACATTTGAGGACAAGTTAATTACAAAACTAACAAAATTAGCTACCTATAATTTACAATTACTTTTATTATTAGAATTATGTAAATTAATTTTTTTAAAGGAACGCCATTCATTCACGTAACCCACAAAAGCCCGCTAAATTTAAAAAGTTTGAAAGTTTTCGAAAAGTCCGGATTCTCGGGTGGTCCGGATTTCTGGCATCCAGATTTTTGGACTTTTACTGTACCTGCATTTATTAGAGACCTGAGAGACATATTTGACAAGTTTGAAACAGCTGCCAAACAAAGAATGCTTGACATCTCAGAGGACTATAAAAAAATTAAGATTAAGGAGATTAAAGAAATTGAGTGATGACAGTGGCTCAAAGGAAATGGTGCTGAGTGGCTCTACAAAATTTCCAATTGAGGGCTACGTTCCCATAGTTGAATGCCTATCGCAGGCAATTGAAGAGTGACACAGTGCCTACACAGATGTGCAAAGGACCTTCAGGTGCATATTCCTGCTTGCATCTAAAGATCCTCTTCGAGAATAATCAGCTGCAGACTTATAGATCTCATGTAATTTGGCAGAAGACTGCTATGCTGAATTTGAACAATTTTGTTGGTTTCCTGTTGACTGCTAAAAGTGTTCTGATTCATGCTCCAAATGTGCCTGTGCCATTGTTCTCCATCAACTTGTCAAAAGACCCCATGGGAAGCATCTGACTACCCATCCTTTGACTGCAAATGTATTTCATAATACAGTCAACCCTCGCTTTACGCGGTCCCACTTTACGCGTTTCCACGTTTACGAGGTACCCTGCCGAACACGTAACGCTCACTTTCCGCGGTGTGTGTACCCTTTTACGCGGAGAGCGGCGCGAGCAGGGTGCGCACAAGGTCGCCCAGTCATCAAAACATTACCGAGTTCTTCACCCGCCACCCACCACAGCCGGCCCAAGTCAGTGATAGTAATAATGATAGTGAGGATATGGACTTTGAGGGGTTTGACAAAGAGGCCCTGCAAGCCTCTGTGGTGGATAGTGATACAATTGATACAAGTGATACAGGTGAGGGCCAATAATCTGCCCTCTGCCTCGGAACCAACCCCCCATCCCCGCGTGCCCAGCCATCTTTTCTACTAATGTAAGTGTTAAAAAACCTAATATTATTGATATTTCTCTTAATTATTAATTGTGTGTGCATACCATCATAAAATTAAGAAGTTATTTGTACTACAACGTGGGTATTGTGTCTGAAAAAGTGGAGTTTGGGGGTCGGCCCGGTCTCTATTTCAATTAATCCCATATGTTATGTTGTTCACTTTACGCGTTTCTCACTTTACGCGAGCCGCCGTGGGTTCAATTGACCGCGTAAAGTGAGGGTTCACTGTATATTTGTAGATTTATTGTCAGTATGCTTAGTATACACTATGTCAAATCCAGTATAACATCTGTATAATGGTTGTATTATGTACTCATGCCGTGATGTTAATCGTATTGTCAATTAATTTCATTTTACGTTTTTATCCCAAGCATGGACATATTTTGTCCTGTACAATTAATCTGCTTTTATATTTTTTTAAATATTTGTACATTTTGGGAACAGATTTACAGTATTCAATATGCTACATTATCATGTTAATCATGAACATGAGCCTTTCCTCTAGAGCCCTTGGCGTAGGGCCTCACCTAACCGAGCCCTGCTAATGGGTGGTGGTGGGTGGTCAGTTGACAAATTGCTGAGATGGAGGTTATTCACACCCATTTCCATTGTATTTTATATTGTATTTCATGTACGTACCGTATATTTGTATGTATTTCATGTCATCTTTATTAATTTTTAAGGGTTTCTGTATGAAAAATTTTCTTTTGGGTGGCATAGCTGTATGAATAGTACGAAATTGGTTGTGGACAATGGATCACGAGTGTTATAATTACGGTACAAGTTTGCAAATAAGAAATGAATACCGGGTATTTACTATTTTATTATTTCATTTATTATGCATCTTTACCCTTATTGAACATTGGTATACTGTATTATGTTTATTCAGTTTAGTCAGTTAAGCAAAATGTAGGAATTTCTAATATCTTACACGACCCTGGTCCAAAGGTTGCCAGAGAAGAGAGGGTCCTTCTGTACTGTATTGCCAGTCTGGTACAGTACTGCTCTTGTTAATACCATTTCAAGCATTGTGACATCCTACAAGGATAAAAAAAAATAGGCAAAGTATAAGAGGGTTGGTTTAACTCCAAAAGAGAAAAGAGAAATACAGTACTGTACTATTACAGTACAGGTATATGCAACTACCTTGAGAACCATGAAAATAGGTGTTTTGATCTGGGAGTACAAGGGCAGCTCATATATATTCTACATCATTAAGATCAAGAAGGAAGAGTTGCTCTTTTTTTTTTTCCTTTTTACTTCAAATGTTGTCCGATTGCACAGCACTCGTTCTACTTTGTGTGTATTCTATCTGTAAAAATTATTTTGTTTTCTTGAAAAGGTTAAAGGTCAAGGAGACCAAAATTTCAACTCTTAAACAACAGACGGAAGGTACAATTTATTAGATAAATTTCTTTTATCATTGGTGTACTGTATTGTATTAGTATTTTTAGCTTATAATGTAAAATGGACATAATTTATACCAAAGGTCAGAGTTCTTCCTCAATTACCTGTTAGCAATCATTGTGTCTAGTAATTTACTCAATGTAATTTCCTCCTTTATTTTTGTACCATTTCCAGGATAATCAGCGGATTCTTGGAAGATGCGGAGGCTACTGTGGGACTTGCACACCAGACCCTATCACTGGGCTAAAGCTAAGTCTTAGAGATGGCTGAAATCTTACTCTAGAGGGACATCTCTCTCATTTTCTTCAGGAAACTCTCTGTATTATGAGGACACCGCTAATGAAGATGGATAATGTGGTGGGATGAAACTTGTCAGAGAGCTGTTTCTACTGGATTTGATGAACAGTTCCAGAAGAAACTAAGTTGGGACATCCACATTAGAGTGGATGGACCTTGCAGTACCAAAGTAGATGAGGAAACTTTCAATCTTGCCTTTTTCAGGAGAAAGGCTAATACCTACTCCTTAAAAAAGGACCAAAAAGTGAATTAGTTATAAGAATAATGCTATTATGAAAAGTGAAAAGCAACCAAATACTTTAACACTGCCATTATGTAATAAGTTTATGCAGCAATAGGTTTATCAAAACTCTGTTGTTGCTGTGTGTTGACAAACAATGCATTAATATTTTACCAGACTTGGTCCAATCTGCACTAATAAGATGTCCCATTTTGACCAGAGGATGCACTGCCCACCGATGGACTCGTTCTTGATCTCAAATAATACTGGGGATGGAATTCCTATGGTTGAATTAGAGATGTGTTTGATGTTCTTAATTAAGGAAATGGTCCAGATTTTTAACAGGTTCTTGCTCTATAAGAGAAGCTCTGAGGCAATTCAGTGTATCCTTGAATTATAAAAGCAATTTAGTTGTTCTGTGGTGTGTTGTGCCCAGAGATTTTGAAACACATGGCACCATATCTTTAGTTTGAATGTTTGCATGATGCTAAAACAAACTATAAAGTCTTGTAAATTTTTATTTTTTATATATTGAGTATAAGCAGGACAAGCCTATTTGTACTAGTGTTCCATTATTGGGAAATCGACTGTATAGACTGGCAGCACCAGTTATGAGAAATACTGAGAAATTAAACAGTATAATAGTATAATCTGGTACATTAACAATATTATTGAAGTCTTTGTGTCTGTGGTATCACAATCAGAGTTATTACAGCATTGCATAATGTTTGTTTGGTAAAACTACTTGTCTTAGGGAATGCTTTTAAAGAACTTAAAAAAATTCCTTTGAAACTTTATTGAATCTTACAATAGATAAATGATCCTTTACCACAAGGTGCTACATAGATTACCTGGTTTAGTGTCCACATCATGCCTTCATTGAACTCAAGAAATATATACAGTACTGTAGATGAGCATGTCATAAATGAATTTGCCCTATTTTGAGAAATGTAAAATGTGAAAACATCAAAAAACAGTGTTCCTGTATATACAGTATGTGTGACTATCAAAACAGATAATTTCAAGCCTTCATTTTGAGGCATGCAATTACTTTCATGCACTAAAAAGATATTTTGGCAAAGCTATTATTCACACTATAATTTAACTTGCTAAGCCTGCAAATTAATTTTATTACCAACATGTCAGTCAGTTACATAAATTCCATGGTGAACTGTTGACATTGCCACACTTTGTTAGTACAGCAGTAAGGGAATGAATGATAAAAAGAATATTTTCAAGGTCCTGCATCCAATTCTGCAAAAAAAAATTCTGATACTGTATAGCTGATAGAATTACACCATGAGTATAATAACACACAACAGCATTTTTCAATGATAACCTCTGGGAAACTGTCATTGCCAGATACCTTAAGTTAACAACACAACAAATTAAAAATTGAAGATCAGGGTGGACCCCCGAAACCTTGGCCTAGAGGCATGAATCACTTGCGTTACTATTGATAGACAAGTTTTTATGGCTCGCCAACAGTATTGAAAATGAAATGAGGGCATATCAATTGATTAGTGTAGATAATATTACATTGAGAGTACTTTTTACATTAAATTTACCTGGTGAAAAAAAAATTACAAGTACAGTACTGTAGTGGTGCATTGAATATGCCATGCTATGAACAAATTATAATTAAAAAATACAAAAATAAAAAATTTGCTAAATAAATTGGTCACTATTATATTCAAATACATCAACTCATAAAGTGCCTGAGATATTGCCTGGACAAGCAAGTTATAAACAAACAAACAAACAAATGGAGGAACTACAAACAATTTTATGTGTACAGGTACCCCTCGACTTAGAACCTACAGTGAGTTCTGCTATAACGCGTGTTTTGACAACGCGAATTGGCTCTGACGCAATTTATGAATAGAGGAATGATATTTGTACAACGCGAACGCTTGTTTGCTGTAACGCAATTTTTGCCTACTATTTCTCCAATTTTGTGGTATTAACTGTGAATATGGTAAAGAAGAATATCTCCAAGAAGCGTTCTGGTGATCGCATTCCCGGTGATTATCGTAAAAGAAAGGCTATAACCCTTGAAGAGAAGCTCGATGTTATCAACCTCAAAATCACCCTTCTCCCCCATCAAGTTATATTCATATTTTTTCAAGGTAAAGTGTTACATTTACTGTATGATTTCATTATTAGATATGAATGTAACATTTATTTAGACTGTGCTAACCTTTGTGTTAGGCTTACTACTAAATTTTTTTTTATTTCGAGTAGTAATCTGCACCTAACCCTATTTTCTCCATAAGCCCTGTTATTTCTATTACGCGAATTTCTGTAACACGATGTTTTACAAGAACACAACTATCGCGTTATAGCAGAACTGACTGTACTCGACTTACGAAAACCCGGACATACGACCGCCCCAGTCGTACGGTACCAAAAAATTTTCAAATTACGTATTTTCAAGTCCCGACGTTAGTGATTGCGCTGTGTACTGACAAAATTTTCGTTTGTAATTCCCTTTAAAATGTCTGGCAAGCTTAAAAGTGAGAGTTTTGTGGTGCTGAGAAGAAAAAGAGACGCCCATTTTAGATTTTCTATGTATTATTTTCGCATTTTCGACTTACGACCAATTCGACTTACGATCTGGATTTGGGTCCCTAACCCCCGTCGTAAGTCAGGGACTGCCTGTAATCACAATGAAATAATAATTTCAATACATAAGCGCAAATAGAAGACATCAGGAGGCGCCACACTATAACTATGTGGTGCAATCATCCTTGCACTTGTACATTTTCCCACCCCTCCACCCACACCAGCAACACGAGGCAGGATTCAAAACTCTTACAACACTGTTATAAATAAATGAAATCACTGTGATGAACAAAAAAATCAGCACAAACCATGATGAAATGCATGGGAAATGTGGGTCAAGGTTATGTCTAGCATCATTGAAACACAAGGGGAGATTGGTGTGGTAACCTAAGCGATGTTGCCAAATGTGTGTCGTGCAAACTAAAATTATTTTATTTAAATTTTTTTCTTCATACACAAATTTCCATTCCCATTTGCCAGAATAATTGGTGCAGAGCTCAGCTGGGAATGAAAGATTTCCGAGTATTAAGACAAATCTCTCATCCTGGAAACAATTGCACATGCTGGAATTTTTCCGGATGCTGGAGAAGTTTTCTGAGAGTCTAAACTATGCATTTCGCACAGACAGACACTTGCACATCCCTTGAATGTTTCCTGGTGGTGCGTAAAATTTTCCGAGAGTCTAAGCTATGCATTGATGCTGGGGAAAGGTTTCTGAGAGTCTAAACATCTAATCTACATATCTGGTAAGAATAAATACATCCTCATTACATTTAGGCCGCTGTCACAAGCAAAAGTATTTATGGCAAACAAAAAATGTACAGGGTATAAACTTTTATTCACAGCTTATGTTGGAATTGTGTTAGAGATAAATTTTTTACCATAATGATCCTGAGTAAATTCTTTTCAAGACTTTCAATAAAAGATCCCTAAATAAAATAATGTAAGAAATGTACAGTATACAGGTATACCGGAGTCTAAAAAATCAGTTCTAATTAAGTTAAAAACACCATTGTTTACTAAAATAATCCTGAATAGTTTATTAAAAGGTTTGTTTAAAAAAAATTAATAATCTATATATATGCATCGCTGTTTATTTATGTAAACACTACTGTACATGTACAATATATTGTAAATAAACAAAATAATGTTTAAAGTACTATTACTGTACTGTATATACTTGTACTGTACTCACCAGCAGATGCTTTCATCTTGAGTTTACAGTAGGCATACACTGTCCACTCTGCTGAATGTACAGTACAGTATCCGCAACTGTAATCACTATTTATGTCTTAACACTGTTCTTGGCTGATTGCGTCCTAGTATAGTACAGTATTGCACAACACAAATTGAAGGCAAAACAGCAGCGAGTCAGAGATCAACTTTGTACAATGGCCTACGGCTGAAGTTACCCAAGCAGCTAGCCTACTCAGGCACCTGGCATGTCGGAATGAATCAGAGTATGGTGCTATACTGTATATCTCGAAACTCTAGGGAAATTTGTTCCCATGCCCAGAACAGAAATTTTCTCCAAATTTTTTTCCGGAAAATGTGCATGATTTTCATCCTCAGGAACTCGTTCCCATCTCCCAAACGAAGAGTGTTTTCAAGGAATTCCCCCCCACCACCTCCAAAAAAATATATATATAGGTGTATACTGTATATAACAGTGATATCTCCGTTAGCCGGAACAATTTGTGCAGAATGTTGCATTATTTAATATCTCAAAGCCGGAAAAAAATCCCTCCTCCCCGGATTTTTCTGAGTAACAGAAAATTTTTCTCAAAAGTTTCAGAATAATGCATTATTTCATCTCTCAAAGCCGGAAGAAATCCCTCATCCTCGGAATTTTCCGGGTAATGAAAAAATATTTTCAGAAGTTTCAGGAATTACGCATTACATCATCTTTCGAACCTGGAAAAAAAATCCTCCATCCTCGAAATGCGTCTGATTTTCATCTCTCAAACCTGGAAAGAAACTCCCCAATCCCTGGAATTTTCTAGGTACTGGGGAAATTTCTCTGAATTTTCCACAAAATGTGCCCCTCGGAAAATATCAATTCCAGCTATCGGAGTGTTCCTTGAGGGATTCCAGCTAGCATTATATATATATATATATATATATATATATATATATATATATATATATATATATATATATATATATATATATATATATATATATATATATATATATATATATATATATATATATATATATATATATATATATATATATATATATATATATATATATATATATATATATATATGTGTGTATATATATATATATATCATTGGTATATATATATATATATATATATATATATATATATATATATATATATATATATATATATATATATACAGTATATATATATATATATATATATATATATATATATATATACAATATATATATATATATATATATATATATATATATATATATATATATATATATATATATATATCAAAAGTGATACCTTAGAATCTCAAATTTGTAAAGTGCCTTTGCATTGTAGGTTATTAAAAATTAGATATTAATTTGGCAAAATGTGTAATGCTTTTTTCCTTACTTTTCTATTTTAAATGTAGTTAAGATAACAGCCCTGGTAGGCTCTATTGACTACAATCAAAATAATCTTTAAAAAACATAATTATTTAAAAATGTATTAAAGTTTAATGGACTAGTATTCTCAGTTTTATGAATACAAACACTACAGTATTCATGAGTGCTGTGCATGATTGTGACTGGTTCACACTGCACTGCCACCCAACTGCCACTTGTGATTTTTTTTTTACATCGGATTGTGACTGGTTCACACTGCACTGCAACTTGTGATTTTTTTTTTTACATTGGCTGTATCCTTTTCACGTTATCTATAAGTTTTAATTGTATCCATTGGTAATTCAGTTTTACCATCACATGTTAACAATTGGCATTTTCTCCTGGACTTATAGCCTAACTTATTTGTTAGCAAAGATTTGTAGTACAGGGGGTCCCCGGATTGCGAATAGGTTCTGTTCCTGAGGATGTTCGCAAGTTGGAACACATACTATATGCATACTGTACTTTCAAAACACTGTTTGAAATCCTACTATATCATAGCCTAAGTCCTTATATACATCTAAAATCACTTCATTTAAAGCAAAAGAAGAAATAGAATGACAAAATACAGTAAATGAAGGTAAAAAATAAGTCATCAGGTAAATAAAATACAGGTACCGGGTACTCTAAATTTAAAGTTTAACCCTGTTTGTATCAGCAGGTGTTCATAAGCTGGACATTTGTAAGTCGGGGACCTCTTGTACTGTACAGGGTACTATACTGTATTTGATATTGTATGTTTCCTCGAGTGGTAAGCATTGTGGGAAAACTGTTTTAAGTGGAATATCAGTCAGAAAATATTCTTGCCAGTGAAAAAATTTACTGATTTGAAAACTTTTTTAAGTTTGCTTCACTTTGTTTATTCTACACTCATCACTGTCATCCTCAATCCATATATGTAACTCATTCACGGAAGACTATAGCACTGAATGATTACCAGTGCCTTAACCATTTCCATTATAAATTTCAGAGTTCTTAATGTTTGCCTTTATCATGGGTACTGCCTCATTTATTGCCTTCCATTTCATGTTTATTCCTCTCTTAGGATACATTTTGCATTACATACATTTTCAGTATATTATGGAAACAAGTGATGTTAATATAATTAATTGGCAAACTTCTTCAAGATTCAGTAAGTGTGTCTTATGTTTTCCTCGCGACTCGCAGTGGTGGCTTGTCTGTGGGATCTGCAATCCTCCTTGAACTGAACTCCCAGACACAGTTATTTTTTAAGCTGCTATAAAGGTGTGTCTTCTCGTGCTTAAGGATTACTTTGCACTACAGTATTCACTAAGCCAAATAATTGTATATTTAATAAATAAGACTTGACTTACTTTAAACATTACAATTCAAAATTAACATAGAGATGCAATTACAGTACATTATGTGGCACAAAGCCCGATTTAGAGCTGCAAATTTTACAGCTA